GGCCACCGAAGCGCGCGTCACTCTGATCCTCCCTGCGCAGCAGAGAGCAGCTTGTGTTATTTGGTTTATCACACAAGGCTCGTAGCAGCCTACCTGGATCATCTCCATGCACTGCTCCTTTGTCTTGGCCGAAATACACTGAATTGCTGGTTTCAAATTCTTTTTCCTAAAAGCGATGGCCATTTCGCCACATTTCCAAATCTCCTCGGTGGATACAACACACCAGTTCAGGCTTTCTGGCAAGGCTGAGCAAAAATTGGAAAGCAATTACTACACGTCGCATGTTACTGAAAATGTTGACTCCCGTGTTTCCCTCCAGCTCAGACTTACACCTGGTTAGGAACCACAGCTCTCCAGAGCAGCAGCATGCCCAGGCCGCACGCCTCGCCGTAGCAAAGGAATAGGACCTCCCGCGACCGCTGACCATCAGGCGCAGCCGTAACGCGTACGCTGAGCGCAGCGGAACACCACCCTGAACATGGGGTTCCTTAAACCTGAGAGTCACTGTGCAACCCCCACAGAGACAAGTCTGGGTGGTGGGGGCCTTTGCCACAGCACCCAGCACATCGGGAGGCTCAGGTTACGAAGCCTCTTAAGGCACAGATTCTTACCACCTGTGTTTCTGGCTTTGCCAGAACGCACGCCAAGTAATTCTACATTCTTCCGACAGCATAAGAGACTGGAACACTTAATAAAGAGCAATTAAAGGTCTCTTCAGCTTCTGGAGGAAATTCTCTGCTATGAACCCATTCCTCCATTCTTTATAGACCACCTGAGCAGTTATAAAGCAACACATTACTGTTTTCCCTTGTTGGCAGGTAAGAAGTGGAGTACCAGGCAGCAGTAGCAGCTTCCCAGGTTAATGTCTCTCATATGCCAGGAAGGGCAGAAAATGACTGCGTTTTACAACACAAAGTGGGTGAATTTGCACAGGAGAGTATTCTGCAATGTGACCCTGTGTCTGGGTCAAAAAGTGACATTTGTCCATGCTCAAAGTCTAGGCTGGCATCTGGCCATAACCCTCCAGGAGTCAGAAGAAAATGAAGCAGAAAAAGATGGCCTGTTAGCAGCTATCTTTGTTCTTGGTTATGAACTGACATCTGAAGACAACTTACTGTTGGGGTTGCAGCTCAGGGCTTGCACAGCACGAAGATACTCCTCACCCAGCCATGCCTGGTAATCCTGAGCTGTGATCGCAACGAGCTCCATGGTGGAGTCTCTGAACAGAAGATTCTGGGCACCGTAGGCTGCGGAGTCAAACATCTGGAACTTGGTGCCTACCCCATTAAATCTTTGCTGTAAATTTAAAGAGAGATAAAAAGCACCTGTCACACATCCCTCTGCCTGGGTGTGTGACATCCCACACCCCTTTCAAATCCCACACCGCTGAAGGTGCCCAGATATCCTGCCAGTTCAGCTCGACGGGTGGGAGAAGCCCTCTAAAACGCAATGCACTGATGATAAAACGGCGTCCTACTTGTCCCTGGTTCAGGAGCTGGAAGACAGCTGCCCCATCTGTGTCAGGCCGCACCACCACGGCTCGAGCCGGGACTCGGGCCAGGTGGCAGGTTCTCCACTCCGTCACATCAGCTGTGTTGCCGTTGCGGCACAGAAGCTGGAAATCCCGGGAGCGAAGCCGCTGGGCCCATGAAGAAAGACTTCTTCCTGAAACCAGACAGAACACGCTTAGGGAACAGGCATCAGGCGGGGCTGATGCTTCTGGCCACACGTCTGCTCTAAGCATCGCGTGCACGTATGGAGCAGCACACGCACCTCCTGAGCATCTTGGGGCTACTCCTGACTGCACAGTACATCCCGTGCATCCACGTGGCCCTTCAGCCCTGTATCTCTGGTAAGACAGTAAACACCCTGACACTTGAGGCTGCACTGAACTGTACCGGGGCCTGCAGCAGTACCAAGAGATCCCTAAGTCTAGTATCACAAGCAACACTCTGGTTTTCTCCCTGTAAACACTGGTCAGACAGGCCCATGACACGAACGTTACGCTCAAGGTAGATTTCACAGCGTGTCAGACCGGGCCCACCACATCTTGCTAGCTTTCTGCTAGTCTCTGCTGAAATCCCTGGCTAGGCAGCAGCAATGTGACAGCCCAGGTCTGGACAAAACTATGAGTTCAGTGCTGTTTAAGATCTCTTTCCAGAAGAGGCTTAAGGTTCCACCTCTAACCTTTACTGAAACCACTAAGCATTACAAAAAAATTCACGGACTCCTCTATCTCCCGGTGCACACATCTATGGGTATGTCTGTTTTTGCTCTTAGAGCTTTTTTTGCCGGTTCTTCAATCCAAAACACTTGCCATTATACTGTCCCTACAGACACCGTACTTCAGACCCTGTCACCGCTATCCAGCCTCTGGATTACTCACCATCTGTGTTTTCAGGCACTGTGCTGTGCTTCACAAAAGCGACGTCTCCAGCACCTTCAGCCAAACACCTGATAAACACAAACCCAACCCCAGGGCAGCGTTACAGAGCAGAGCTCCCGCAGCCCGGACACCGCCGGCTGGCAGCCAGAGCGCCGTGTGCCACGTCCATCACCAGTCGCTGCCCTATCTCCCTGCGCGCAGTACGGCTCAAGGCAGAGACAGCGGCCGTTAGAGCACGAAGTAAACCAGCGCTGTCACTTGGCGAACATGGACATCATGTTCGGTGCTGCCTGGGACAAACACCATGTCCTTCTTTGTCCAGGGGAGTTCTCTTTAGGGCAGTCGCACAATCCTTTGGGGAATACACACAGAGTAGCAAGTGTTCACACAAGCAAATTCTGCCCTTGCTAGGTCCACGCTACTACTGAGGGACTAGGAGCTGCAACAACAGCACACAGACAGGGAGAGGGAAAACAAGGGAAAGATTGGTGTGCAGAAACGGAGCGCAGGGCACCTCAGTAGTTCAGTGCAACTGTGGAGGGATGACTGAGCAGGGCGGCAGTTCAGCTCTCGGGCTCCAAGGGTCATCAGGTTTTACCGGGAAAGATAGAGCCTGCTGAAACAGCCCTCAGACTTGGGTCAACAGCTGCAGGACAAAGCAAACAGCAGTGGGGTTTCCCTGCCCGCTGTAAGCACTAAATATCCATTTGGTTTTAATACTTGGGCGTTAATACCCAAACCAGTGAGTTTAGAACTAGTTTTGTCCCATCTCTAGGTTTAATGCATGGTTGTCCTCAGCACAACAGCAGACTTTCTAACAAGATCCACTGGAAATTCTCCAGCTCTAACTTCCTGTCAGTGAGGCCTGGACACAATGGCTATGGATAGAGCACAGGGATAAAATTGACAGAGCCATGGTATTTACCTGAAAGCCCCACTGTAGTCATAGTATTGCTCTTGGGAATTTCGTTCGCATTTGCTCTTCCCAGCCGAATTCCCTCTGCAGAGCTGGCACAGGGAACTGGGATAGTTTACGCCAATTGCTCCAGGAACACAGCTTGCATTGAAATAGTCACTTACAGCTAAATGTGAAATCAGAATGAGAAATGTGAAATCAGAATAAGAAATGTTAAAAACTCATTTTAACACATCTACACCATACGTGTCTCAAAATATTTAGAGGGGCAAGTCATTTTTGTTCTTAACAGATAGTTTCCAAGTTCACAAAAGAGCCCATCCCGCAGGCTCCATCAGGCCTACGTTAGGTCTGTTCCGTCTCAAGAGGAGCATCAAAGCCACGGAACAAGCCAGCAGGTAGAACACACTGCTGTCCACACGCAGGGCCCCAGACCTGGCGGAGGGGCACTGCTGAAGAAGAGAGCTCTGCCCCGGAACTCTTACCTTGTGGAAGGTCACATCCCATGGCTGCCAGGCGCCCGCTGTCAGTCAGATAACCCACGGGCACATCCCAGCCGGCGGTTCTGTTGATGCCTGTGTGACATGAACGGACACCCTTCAAGCTGTCGATGGTGATGCTGGAGTTCTTCCTCACCACAGCCACGGCGTAATAGGAAGTTCCAATCTCTGCAGCGCAGGGAGAGAGAGAAGGGAGCAAAGTAGCCTCACAGCAGCATCACAGTGAGATACGCTGCCGTGCAGCCTCTCATAGGTGCCCGACCCACCGGGCACGTTGTTCACAGCCATGGTGGGAACCTGCTGACTCTGAGTGCATGCGCCCCACGACCTCTTCAGAGTGAAACGCCTTGGGGAACGGCCAGAGGCAAACTGCTCTAACGGTGAAGGTCACCCTGCTTCGAAAGGGAGGTGGGATGAAAGACATCCACAGGTTGCTTCCAAGAAGCCATTTTCTAGGATTCTAAATGTATTTGGATTGAATTGAAAACAATATAATTAATAGTTTAAAAAAATGATTATTCTGCAGCTGTTTACTAACTCGATCTTAATTTTGACACAGCACAGCAGGTCAATGTCACTGGAGCATCACAGCTGATTTCATTCTCTGCTTTACAGTTTGATATAACTCGGAGTCAAGAGTTTAGGGTCTGAAACAAAGTAAGGTCATTCAAACTGACTCCCTTTAGATCAGAAATTACTGAATTTCATTCACTTTTTCTCTGATTTAAGCCCCTAACCTGACTAATAGATAGCCAGCCTCTGGATCATGAGTCCCACTTGGTTTTGGAAACTGAAGTAGGGTTCCCTCACCGGGTCATGACGTGGTTAGCAGCGGGGGTGGGCTGCCAAGGTGATCAGTACCTGGGGACTGGGCCCAACAGGCACTTCTGAGGGTGCCCTGGGCAGACCCACACTAAGATCCAGCTCCATCTCACAACAGAGTGGAAGGGCACCACTGCCCGCAGACTGCTTCCAGAGCTGTTCCTTCCCTTGGGGCTCTGACAGTTACGGGGGCACCTTCCAGCTCTGAACTACAGACACATGTCCATACTGAGCCTTAGACAGGCTGACAAGTCACCACGGAATTACTGTCTTGAAAGGAGCTCAAAGCTTAGGGACACCCAGATAAAGAGCAGAATCTATCATGCCCTTTCTTCCAGCAGGTAATCACATGCACTATTAAAAACAGAATCTTAGTCTTCTAATCTATGGGACTGAGAGATAAACCTAATAATAATTTATGCTTTGCAATTAATTAATTTATCTGCAAAGTATGGAACAAAGAAAACAGGAAAAAAAACCCAACCAACCAAGCAAAAAAGTCCAAGAAAAGCCCAAACCAACCTAGCAAAGCTATTACAGGAAAGGCTGCTGTGACCTAACTGTTTCAGGACAGACTCTGCCACAGCCCTGCTCCTCCCCTTTCCCCCACACATACTGTTATGGGCAGGAACACCCAAGAGGGAACCTGACCCCTACCTACTGATTAGAGTCTTCAAGAGCACAACCCCAAAATGAAATGGAAACAGTAAAAATGCGTAAGAACAAGCTCCTATTAAGTAATCAAAGTTATTTAGTCAGAGTATACCTTGATCGTACACTTCCCCAACCACAGGTTTCAGGCCATGCTCCTTTCCAGCCTGGTAAATCAAACGTCCATCCAGCGTCACTGCATCTGCCAAGTCCTCCTGCACAGACACAAGGGCAGAACACACGCTGACGCTTAGTGATCAGCACTTCTCAGCAGCCAGAGTACCCACGAATTTAATAGAGGAGAACCCCTAATCTTCATTTGTGAGTTTTCTTTTCTCCAAAACATTCTTTTAAGGGCACTTGAATTTCTGAAGAGCAATTACTAAGAAGCATTTTAGAACTGCAAAACTGCCTTCCTTCAGAAATTAATGCAAAAACCAGCCCTGGACCACGATGGCCTCACTAGTCTTCACAGTCCAAAGGAATGGGGCGGGCTGGCCGCAGAAGACAAGGACTGTATGACGTGGGCATATTTCCATGTGAGAGAGCACTTTCCTGACTGAAAAGCTGAGCCTTTGAGCTCTGTTTAGCAGATGAGCCTACTTTCAATAGCTTGTGTTTTAATAACAGAATAAGCCAGAAAAAAGTGCCGATCGTGTTCAGCGTGAAGTCGTCTACAGGCTACAGATGTCTCCTGTAAATGCATACGCTCACGATTGGGGCTGCACATTAGCCACAGTGTGGGTTGGGTTTTTTGTAGCAAGCATTTGCCAAGACATTTAGCAAAAGCACAGGGTTATTCCACATATTTTTGATAAGTATATGTGCAATGGTAGTTCCCCACTAATTATTTTGAGAGGGACTTCATTTCTGTGTGTCAGTGTTTGAGAACTACCTACAGAACCGTCTAACGACCTGCTGAAGAAAAGCTCTGGTCATTAAATACTGACAGATTCCCGAGTTTAATATTTAGACATTTCTCAATTTTTAAACACCTTCAGATGAGAGGGGCTTTTTTTCACTTTATCCATGTGCTAACACATTGACAGGACTAAGTCCAAGTTACATGGTGTTATAAACCAGTGTATCTCTGCCGCTTCAGTGATGCCGTCCCACGCCCTTTCTGGCCCCAAAGAGCAGAGTTCAGCAGAGTATGGACTCAGGGGCTCCACACGGGCCTACAGAGAGTAGGCCAGCTTAAACATTTAGTAGATGATTAGCACAAGAAAAAAGAAGTCTCAAGGACACAGCCTCATCTGACGCCTCACAGTGAAGATTCATGTTATCAGAAAGCTACTCGTGCTATCCACCTGCGGGTTTCTGAGTTCAGCTACTGAGTTCTACAGGAATCCAAGGTTTTAGACAGGTGCCCGCTGCTTGCAAGGGCTTACAAACGCAATTCTGCGTGCACTCTGTTTCAAGAGCAGACCCTCATCAGCCCTTCTGATAACCTGCTTTGCAGAGTGTAACAGGTCCCCCTGTGGGACGCAGCGATCGGCCAAGCAGTTTTAGGAAGAGCTGGCATTAGAAAGCCCTGTCTAATCCCGAGGTAAGACCCGCGTAAGCAACAGTATCTGCTCCTAACATTCGTCAATGCAGTCTTGATTTCCTCGCTCAAGAACAGGATTTATGTAGAAGCAATGTGATACCTTCAGTAGTCAGACAACCTTCTGACTTTTTCTTCTGTTCTCAAAAAATTACAAGATACCAATTTCTGAAATCTGTTCCTTTTTGCTGAGCACACAACCTCCCGCCTCCTCTCCCTTCAAACCACTCTGCCAGGCCCCATCTCCTGGCTCTGCATCTCTTGTCCTTGACAGGCTGCACCTTCCCCACAAACCCCTGATTTTGGGGCATGTCTACCCAGGACACAAGGACATTATTTATTAACTCAGCCAGCTGTCCTGCCCTTCCCCCACACCCTGCCAGTGAAGATGGCCAGGACTACCTGCCTCCACATTTCCTCCAATATCCACTTGTTGCCTCCCACCCCCTCCAAAGGAGGGAATTATTTTCCACACATCATTTTGCCAAGCCATGTGTTCAGAGTTTTTAAAGCCTTCCCCCGAGCCGTGCTCCTTTTGGAAACCGAGCACTCTGGGCAGCTGAGCGAACACAGCTGGGCCTGCGTGCCCTTTGCTCACCCTACTTGCTGCTCTCTCGCACTTCAGTACTGGGAGATTTGATTTGGCTTTACACTCATCTCATCTGTATATACAGCAATTTCCATGATGGGAACATGGAATGGGAGTTTGATCCAGAGTTTATCAAAATACAATCTACTTACAGGCTCAGCAGCACAGCTTTAACTACTGTCTGCATCTTACAGCTCCACTCCATCCCTTCTTAAATATCTGCTAAATAAATCTGACACGATTCCCAAATCAAAGATTAGCATCTGGGAGGAAGTAAGGCCTTTGCTGCGCCCCTAATGACTGGCCATACGTGACTAGCCAGACAACACAGAGCCACTCTGACATGCAAACTCATACATAAACCTTAACGCCCCTTTTAAAAACATACACGCGTTCATTTTCCAGCGACGTGGACGCCAGGAAGCACATGGTCAGCTGCCCGGATCATCAGACATTCACCGCAGAGCGCTGTGCATCGCCGCTGGATGGTTATCAGGCACACAGGGAAATCAAATCAAGGCGGGCACTGTCACTCACAACTCACCTTGATCATCTGGGTACAGTTAGCAGCTGACCCCCACGCTGTACACTCCAGAGGGGGAAGGATGCCAGCCCTCCCGAAGGCCTTACTCATGTCATTACACTTGGAGAGTTCTTGCTGAGAGATGGTGCACCACCGGACACGTTCCAGGCCGAGAGCTGCAAACACAACACCGGGAGAGAATATTACAGAGGCACCAATGTGTTTTATAACAGAGCTGGCCATGTAAAGGTTCCAAAAAGCCAAGCTTCCGTTCCGTTCGCTCCTCCCAGAACAGAAAGAAATCAAGGCTCGTTCAACAGCCAGTCTTTACAGATGGTTCCCACTTTCATTCAGATTAACGCAAATACTGAAGTTTTTTGGACCGGAAACAGGATAAGGTCAGGCAGATACTGCAACTTGATGGCATTTGTTTCTGACACAAGAAGTATGAGCACCACGGAACAGGTCAGGGCATCCAGACTATTCTTAAAACCTTGCAGAACACGTAATCTTTTCTCGGGTCAAAACCGTTTAAAGTGATTATTTAAAATTCTGTGCTACCAAACCAAATGACTGTCCAAAGACGACTCTGTCTCAAGCACGGGTAGTCAGTACCTGGAATCCTGCCGCCGCCCTCCTGGGTCTGAATAGAAAAAGCAACCTTAGGTGCTCAAGAGCCTTGGCACTACACTTATTACGGAAACTAGAAAAGTAAACTCGTCTCTCTTTCATAAGAGGCCGTTTCCACAGTCCTGAAAAGGAGGGGGTGGTTCCGTGAATGAAGAGACTCAAGTTTAGTAGTGGAGATTCCATTAACCGGTGAAGAGAGATGCCTTTCATCAGGCCCAAGCGCCACCCTTGAAAGCAGCAAAGCTACGCTTCGTTGCCCCGGTGAGGATACAGCACCATGTGCGAACGGTGCAGCTGTACCCCGAACGCACGTGCAAGCATGGTTTTAAACCATGGGCACACACCATTCCTGCAAGCCGGGAGCACCCCATCCCATGGCTTTTCCACAAGTTAGTCCGCTGTTATTCATCGTGTAGTCTCCTGAAAACCCGAACTGGGCCTCTGCTTCCCCACCACCGTCAGGCAGCTGAGAAACCCCATCTGCCTCGGGAAGGTACAATGACTCCAGCAGCATCCAGGCGCATTTTCCGACACGGAGCTCACAAAGCACGCGAGGCCGCGGGTGCCGTACAGCCTGTCTGCACCCCGCACCGGCGCAGAGGGCTTCGCCCGCCGTCCCTCTGCAACTCAGAGCCAACTCTGCTCCTGCCAACAAGCACTAAGGGCGGCTTGGAAAGCTTACAGAAGTGTTCATGGCAGCATGTGCTGGCAGAGGGAGACAACTGCCCGCCTCCCAGTCGCTGGAATTCTGAGAACCGGGATGGTTAGAAGAAAGGCACAACAGGGCCAAGGTAAAACAGCACCTCAAGGAAACGGAACGGCTGCTTTATCTACCCGGGTGAAATTTGCACCATTAATCTCTGGGGGCAGGACAAAGAACCTAGGTTTTAATGGATAAAGGGGTTTGGGATTTTCTTCTCGTAAACACAAGCAAATGGAAATTGAACTGGGGTCTCAGCATCTCAGTCTGTACGGCTAAACAGCCTACTTCAGCCCCAGCATCCTGTTTCAGACATAAACACACAGCAGACGAGGCATGAATTGTATGAAGAAATCATTAGTCATACACACCTGAAACGTGAAACAAAGCTCATTTGGACCCCTATTTCAGCCAAAATAGTGGAGCAGCATGAATCTGTTGCTTTTTTCCTCACTCTTCTAAAGGAGGAAATTAATTTGTCCCTTTCCAAACTGCTAATTACTGACCAGGTCTGTAGTTGGCCTCTCTTCCTATTACCAGCCAAGAACATCTGAAAACAGCAGGTCAGTCTCTCCAAGTTCATTCAGTTTTCTGTAGGTACACATAAAGCGTGAAATGGCAGGAGCTAGCAACTTCCATTTGAAACACTCCAGGTCCTATAGACACAGACAACTATCACTGCAAACATCCAATTAACTCCTTTGCTGGAAGTGACAGCACTACAGAGTGCAACATCTTATCAAGTGGCTACTGACACAGCCATTAATACACTGTCAAGGGCTTTCCACAGAAACAACGTTTAAAAAAACCCCAAAACCACTAGGATCATTTCTTTTTGAAGAACTTTGCTTCGGAAACAGCATCCACACCTCCAGTGAAATAAAAAGCATTTGCCATTAGAATTTGGGAGGGTCAGGAAAAAGCCAACACCCATTTTTACAAAATAAGCATCATAAAACTGTTCGCACTTGTGAAAAACAGACACCACTGAACCGAAAGTAGATTCAGTGCTGAGGACATACAAGATGTGACACCAGTAAGTCAAAACACGTTCAAGGTGTTCAATCCAGGTTTTTCTACTCTTCTGGTTTTTCTATTCTTTCCCTGTCTGTATGAGAGACACTCTGAAATGGTTCTAGTTTCCCTCTGCTCTTTCACATGACAGAGAAGTCAACCCCACAGACACCACACCACAGAAAGGTTTTTGTAAGGCACTTACCAGCATGAACAAAGAGAAGACAGAAGACATTTCTGGAGCTCTTCATGGTGAAAACTGTGGGATTTGTGCTTTTTCCAGCCTTCAGAACCCCCAGAGATCAAGGCTCCTGCAAATGTGTTCTCCCCAGCTTGCTCTTTGCTGAAAACCAGCAGCTTTCAATTGCAGGTGCACTTTGTTCAACAATTTATCTTGCTTATGTTGGCACACGTCACCTCATAATGACTACAGGGGGGAAAAAAAGCTCCTACCCCTCTTCACACTGCAGCAACACCTCCCAAAAAAAAAAAATCAGACCAGGAAATTGCAAAATACGAGGCACCAATGAGGTTGTTACTGCTTTAGCACCACCTACAGACTTACAGAAACAGCTACACACCAAGCCAAGGGGTAAGGCAGGTCTGTGTAAAGAAATCCTCAGCCTAAGTACGAGTCCTGTGTATCGCCTATGTGTCAGTGCTCGGGAAGCAAAAGTAGATTCAGGCTAAGCACTTCATCTGACAGAGCTGATGGTCACCCTTTCTGCCCCACTGTCAGCATTGCCGTGCGTTTCATAAAGCCCTAACGAGAACCCCAGGCTTTCCCAACAGCGAAGCTGTGCGCTACAGGTGGTACAGCGCGTGCCGAGGGCACAGCTCCTGGAACTGAACAGCAAGTGCTACGAAACAGCTGAAGTTTGATTTTTTTTAAGGTTTTAGAGAAGGCCCAGGAAGGCTTATCTCTCCCAGAAAGAGTAAAAGCTCTGCTGACAATAGCTCGGTTAAATGCTGCTGTGACTTTCAGAGTAGCTTTCAGAGAACAACACTCATTTCTCCTGCCCTTTTCTTCAATTTTCATTTGTCAGTGAGCAGCACCTACCTGTAACTTTTAGATAAAAGCCATTTAACACTGTGTTGCTCTGCTCTCTGCCATTTCTCACAGCTACCAGAAAAGAATGGCCATGCACTGCCGTGAATGCCCACACACACGTCTCTACCTGCTTCCACCAAGAGCACACACCAACAGCACAACGGGATGCATCCTTCAGACAGTCTGTACATGCAGTAAAGTTGCCTGAATGGTTTCGGGAGTTAGTTATTTAGCTGCTTGACTGGAATTTGGTCAGCCTGCTACAGCACCTGTAACACAACAGCTGAGTTTAAGTCAATTAATGGCTATTTCAAGTTTAGAACTTAAAAAAAACAATAAAAGATAATGACCCCTCCAGAGCTGCTTCTTAAACAAAACCTTGTGGCCACACTCTGATTCTCAACTGCTGAGACCACGTGGAATTAGTAGTCTCTTTGTTGTCTAAAGCGCTAAAGAACAACCTGGCACCGCTGGAGTTTTTCCAAATTTCTGGAAGGATCCATAATTCGGACCCCTCCTGTGCCCTTCCCTCTGGCCAGGTTAACCTCTCCAGCCCCCCGACGCCAGCAGCCAGGCTCACACGCCGAGGCGTACACGGCAAGGCTGACGCACCGCACTTGCCTGAGAGCGCAAGGGCAAGGCTGGTCAGACAGTCATCCAGCACCAGGCCTCCCTGGCAGCTCGTGCATTCCTCTAGGGAAATGGTCAGGAGGCAGAGGGGCAGCCTTTCTGTACCCAAGGCCTGTTCTGAACCCAACCCCCTCTAAGCCATCACATAAGCACAGCTCGTGATAACAGGAAGCTGTCCCTGCCCGTAGCAGGGGGGTTGGAACGGGATGGTCTTTAAGGTCCCTTCCAACCCAAACCATTCTGTGATTCTACAATTCTATTAATTTATCTCATTTTCCTGTTTTATTCATAAATATGAATATCTATGCTTTAAGGAGATACCACATTTCTTAATTTTCGCCACACTTTAGCAAAAATTCCCATAAAGGAAATGATTAATGTAAGTTAAAATAATAATAGAGAGGAGCAAATACTTCAATCAAAGGTGCTTCTGTACAGCAGCTACAAATAGCTGGGTTAGCAGGCAGGGAAGAAAAGCCATTGTACCTTCGCGGGGCCAGCAAAAGCAGGGTGGTAACAACACCATTTAGACTTCTTAATTGCTCCAGTTGTTAAATTGGAAGCCTTAAGAAAAGTACACATATTGTAATATATATCTTTAAAATACAGAAAGCAAAGTGTGCCCAAGAATCAAAGACATATCAGCATCTGATGCTGGGAAAAGGAGAGACAAGAGAAACACCAACTAACGCAAAATCCTAAAAACAACAAGATAAAACCCGTTGGCTGGGACCATCAGGGCTGTCAGAAACGGCGTACTGCAAGGCTGACAGGCGTTCCACGTAACTTGGGACACAACCATTACTGGTGTTAAAACCCGCTTTTCATGTAATAACCTGGCTAGCCCCAGCCTGGCCACCGGTGTTCCCCTAACACACACTTTCCGTTTACAGCCCCAGGCAATAATTTTGAAATGCTACAACACCTCTATTTCTTTCCATGAAAAACACACTTGACAAATATATTGTACAATAAAGTTTATTAGCTGTTCTCCTCTTTCTAACAAATGGAATGGATAGTGTTGATAACTCTTTACAAACCAAAGCTAATTTGGTTGTGTAATTGCCCCGTGACTGCCATAGGTACATCCCTCTGATAAACAGTTCCACACAAGCAGTGGCAGGTACCAAATAATACCAGAATTCGAGAATTTCATTGCTGACGGCAGCCCCATGTTTTGGTACAACGCATTTGTAACATTCGGCACAGAAGTTCGTGCACTGCAAACGGAAGATCTTGTGCCTACGCAACCCGAGATGCACATGTACAGGAAAATAAAACGTACCATTGACTCCGAATTCTCCTTTTGGTTAAGACATGCATATTACAAGGAGGGTGGGGGAGACTAACACCTGAAATTCCGTAGAAAAGAGGAGAACTTGCATGTATTTTTTATTTTTGTAACTAATATTCCCTGGACTTTATATCCAGCCACCACAGCCCGTTTGATTTCTTGTGTTTAAGGAAGGTAAATTCTAATTTGTATTTTTATTCAAAACAAAAAGCTAGGAGTAGGTGGTAAAAGAAAAATATATATTTTATATATATATTTATACGTGTGCGCAACTATGTAAAGAAAATAATTCCCATAGTTACAGAGTTTAGTTAAAGAAAGTTTAATATATATATATTTATTATAACAAAATAGGCAGTTATTGTGGGTAAAATATTCATTAAAATCTGACCCCTAAGAACACACACATTTTTAGGCTACGAATCCTTCTCTCACTGCCCTACTGACCATCGCTGCAGCTGTTTTCTGTATTACTGCCAATGGAAATTTGGCATTCCTCTGAAAAATACAAGGTTTCCTAGCACCTAAACGTATTTTAGGCTCAAAAAGCATGATGACCATTATCTATAAACAATTTCTGTAAGACACTATAAATAGTGTTTCATGAGGAAGATTAAAAACATTACACATCTTTGTCCCTAGCAATTTTATTGGCAAAAAAATGAAAAAATAGATTATAAGAATATCCATATGAAATTATGAAAATGAATATCCCTTGAGGAGTAGTAATGGGAGTTAATGAATATGTTAACTCAAATTTGAAAGTTTCTCTCTAACTGCCTGGAAAGGAAAAAAAAAAATAAAAAATACTGACAATAGAATTTAACTCAGAAAATAAAATCTGAAACTGATTGCCCTGACCAAACCATGCTATGAAAGTTAAGCGTGCAAAGTTACTCATGATTTACAACTTCCTCGAATACAACTTTTCTTTCAACTGTTATGAAATTTTAAAAGAACGTCTATAAAGCTTTTTTGAAAAAAATCTTTGAAAGTTACTTTCCCTTAAACATTAAGGAATTTTACCAAGCAATTCCCTCCCACCCCCACCCCAAACTAATAGCTGGTCAGGCCATTCCACTGTCATGTTTGAAAAATGGCAAACCAACAACACACAATAATACAAATTATTTAAACTAAGAGAGACACCAAATGTAAAGCATTATGGGAACTGCAGAATGTGATGGTTAGGGTATGAACCGCGCTGGAAAGAACTAGAGGCAGGCTCCACTGGAAGGGCTTAGAGTCGTCAGATGTAGTAGGTGATGTCAGTTAGAAAATGAAAAGTAAAAAGCTGTTTTCATAATTTTTCCTTTGCTGGAACCCAGATGTAAGGCCCAGACTGTTCCTCTATGATCTGTTTCACTTGGTTGTAGATTTCTTCCAGTGTGTCTCCTTGGACAATAGCTGCAAAACATAAGGTGGCAATCAGCAATCAGCCTTCCTGGCTCCGTACATAAATCAAGACGTTCCAAGCCAAGCTGTTCTTTTCTCAAGAGTGGCAAGAGGATTTTAGATCGCTGAAGGAACGGACACCCACTGGGATGTCTGGATTCCAGGCTGGAGTGAAGCACACTGTCGGTGGTACTGCAGGACACACAAAGCACCACCTATCCCACTCGGAGGCTCGGGATTTGGAAGCGGTTGTCACTTGGCTACAAGTATACACATACAACCCAGGAGGGTTTTTTGCTCTTCCTAACCATGTGTTAGAGTTTGCCTGAGTCAGTCTGCATCCTCCAGTATTCTCTTTGGTTCAACTTCCATGTGCTTCCAACACACCAAGGCAAGACACCTCAGTGCCATCAGGCTGGGTGCGATGCAGAGTGGTGAGCTCAGCTGGGTCCTGACAGTTCACAGCAAGGCTGGCTGAGCCTGGCATTTCTACCTGCTAGCACTGTCTTTGCTTTCCCTCAAAAAGAGGAGGAACTCGGAGTCTGTTGCCTAGCCAGACTCAAGTTTTATAGACAACAGGCTTCCTTAAATAGTTAAAAGTGCAATTTATATTCAGATGGTATAAGTTAGATATACTTTCTCCAAGGCCAGAAAATAATCAGAACTGAGACAAGATGGTGTTCTGACATATCAAAGTATGGTCTGGTAAAAATGAGAATAAAATGTGAGCTGTTCTTACCACACTTCAGTCTGATAAAGCAATCACTGTGAGATAGCAGCTTCTTTTTAATTAGGATTGGCACTTCAGGATTGACAATCCAAGAAACAAAGTTTTAGCATGAAAGATAATTTTGGAGGCAGGCCAGACTCACTCTTTTGTGCATTAATATATTACTGCTGCTTCCGAGCTTTGCTTTCACGCAGATTCCTTCCTTTTTATTCCTACTCATCATTACCATCTCTTAAAAAACTTCTGCCCCATCTGCAGCCCATCATCACAGAGCCTGGGGGAGGAGGCTGTGCAATTATTATGGATCAAGTATAAT